ATGTTGTTTGAGTTAAGGGCTCCTGGTTTCCACCTTCGCCCTGTAAGAAATCTTTATCAGCTTCCCTTTTTACCTCATTTCCACAAATTATCAGCAATGCATTCACTTCCTGTTTGGCTCCCTATGCCTACTGACCTTTGCAGGAAAGCTGTGCAAAAATGGAGATTATTTAGGAGCAGGGTCTGCAGGACTAGTCTTTCTACAAAGCCTGCAGGGGCTCATTATCTTTCCTTCTGGCTTTCTTCCTAGGTAGACTGCTCTCTAATGCCATCTCTTTTTCTCCATGCACCTCCCCAAAGAGAAAGCTTTTGCCACCCCAAGCTGGCTGTGAGGTCAATCATCTGTACCCAAAAAATGTTCTCTCTGAAAGCTGCTATAATGGAGAGCCGAGGGAATTTGGTGACCAACAGTATTTGGGGGTGTTAGTCATTTTATCTTGTGTGAACATAAAAGCCTGAAATGGCTCGGGTAATTCAACCATTCACAATCATGTTTTGCTGCCATGACGAGCCAGACGGGTGGCAGTGCTACCCTCGTGCTCTTGTTGTCACAGCTGGGTGACAGTAACACAACAAACACAAATACGACTTTCCCTTTTACAAACCACCAAGCACTCCCACGACGCTTTAATGACAGTGATAACGAACCTTAATTTACTAATCACCTCATCTTCTAAAGCCTTTTGTAAACAGCCACCACTGTGTAATGAGCCATGTTCCATACAGAAGAGTCAATACTCTCCTTCTTTCTACAAATTAGGGTAGTTTCCTGCAATTTAGAGGCTGCAATTTTATAGACTTATGGACTTGATGTCTATTTAAGTGTCTAAAAAGTATTCAACATTTGGTCAACTGAGAGACTTTAGAGCACGGGTGTGAAATATGCCAGAAAATCTAATTCAGCCCACTTTATGGTGCTGCAAAATAGTATCATTTACTTTAACAAACTGCACTGATGTTCCTGGGGCTCAGGGGTTAATGTGGGATTTAGCAGGTGTGATAACCTTAAGATCAGACGGAGCCGTGCAATGTAAGGAAAATAATTATTTAGGAATAAGTCACATACCAGTTTGCTTTGTGAGCTCCAGTAGATTTTTGTGTACATGCTGTGATCAGCTGACCTGTGCTGCTACTCTGACATTTGTGGCTTTATCTAATTAAACAAAATAAAAAAATAGGCCAATATATCAACTATTTCCACCCCCTACACTACTATAAAACTCATATAAAAAGTAGAATTAAGAGGGTGAATCTAATCAGCATCATCTCCTTAAATATAAAGAGATGTCTCCTGCCACCCTTGATGTAACCTAATAATAGCACACTAGATGTAAGTAGTCAAACATAATGCAGTACTTTAAACTCAATCACAATATAGCAAACTAACCAGCCTGTACTAAACTGCACAGCATTTTCATGCAACCTCTGAATTTCTTGTTTTACAAGACATATTTCAAAAACAGTCTGCAACGCATCAGATTCAGTATCTTATTTAAAAATTCGAAGCTGACTCAGAACATTACACGCAAGACTCCTTTACTAAGCATTATTTATCTTTGAAAATAATTTCTCAACTTCCTCTCTTGCTGATTTTTGAGCTGTATGAAAAGTTGCATTAGAAATTAGTTAAAAAAGGTGTAATGTCTAAACAACTACAGATGCTCCTCTTCTGGAGTTAGTTAGATGTTTCAATATGCAACTTGCACTATATCTGGACTATGAACGCATCAAGAGGAGGGGAAGGAAAAGGGATATGCTGAGGATTTGAGTGGTCAAAAAGTGATTGCTGATATTTGTATGTGCTCTTTATGATCTCTTAACATCCTTGTTTAGATTGGTAAATAGCGCATAGACAAAATGAGTTTCCAAAGGGGTTATTTTTAAAATAAAGTGAAGTGCTATATAAAGATTTAAAATATCATGTCATGCTTGACCTTTGATTTTCAAGGCCAAAATATTGATCTGAAGGTCAAAGTGATAGTAATGCTATATAGAGCTATTTTATGCCATTGTTTGTTTTGACAATACGCAGGCATATAGGAAATTATATATGTGGATTCTAAATATCACATTATTTTATTGTGACTTTGTTATGTACATTACAGTAACCAGTTCTAATAACAATGAAATGAATGCTGCAAATGTACCATCTCTACATAAATAAGAACTAATAAAATTATTGTACTCAAAGTGATGTCATGCATATTGAAATAGAGTTTCAACAATGCAAATAACAAAAGCCAAACGTGTGAACGAAAACCCAATGAATGTAATACTGTTCCCTTAAAAAGTAGATACTGCCTAAAGAGTGAGCTGCCTCGGTGGAGGTTAGTGTGCTCGGAGTGCTTATTACTCTTTTTGTAAATATAAACAATACCATAACTAATTATGGAAAACTTCTATATATCCCTTGTGCATGATAGTGATGCAGGGACAAGATAAATGATGTTACAGGCTTGTGGGACGAGTTTTGTACAGGCTATAGTGTCACATTACACAGCTTATACGCAACGCATAAATATAAGAAACATTTTCATGTTTATTGTTTAACAATACATGGTTTTAAAAGTACAAATAAAATAATAACTTTAAATAAACTTTCATTTATTTTTCAATTGTTCCATTCTTCTTTATGTCTTTACAGTTAATTTAGAAAGCTCTGCACACCTGAATCAATGACAGATGCATAATTCTAACAATTCTACAACTCGTCAAACTGGATTTTGACTATTTGACAGCTGAACATAAAGATATATCTAAACTCTAAAACCATCTATCCATTACACTTCACAAAAACAGAATGAGTGACAATGGCCATGAGTTTCATATCATGTATCAAATTTTGCATGGCCAAAAAAAAGCGCGAAATTCCCATAAAGCATTTACAGTTCAACAGTGTGAACCCTTTGAGTGACTGACCTGTCTTCATTCAGGCCACAGACAGGATAGTAGAGTTACTTCTATATATTTTATAAGACTCCAAATGAGCCAACAGACTAAAAATGAAGTTACTAGATGTGAGTATCTGTGACTTACATTATAGAAAAAAGAAATGGTAATTCTTCGCATTGTCAAGAAAACACAAGATATGCAAACACGTTGAACGAATTACAAATGTCCATATTTAAAGCTAGAAATGACCCCCAAACACCACCCTTTTAATTAAAGATATTAAAATTTGTTTTCAAGTTTGTCACATTGTTCTAATTAGTTGTCAAGTTAACTTTTAGAGACCCTGCAGGATATTTACACGAAATGAAGCAACCATTAAATAGCAATGTGAAAAAGTGCATGTGGTTTAATGAGACATTTGTCAGGATACTGTGGGAGAACCACCTACAGCAAGGAACTGAACTCTACCCAAACATGTTTCTTATGCACAGCAAAAATACATACCACCCACCTGATTACCAGCGCAGCTTAACCACATCAAAATAAAGAAAAACAACACCACATCCGTGACAACGTTGTCTTCAAAATAAAGGCTTTAAATGGGTAATTCTCGCCAATAAAATAGTGCATGTACTCCATTTTCAAGAAAAAACTATATTTATGATCTAAAAGAGTAAATAAATAAGTTTACTCATTTGGCAGATAATCTGCTGCTGTTGTGACGTAAAGGATTGAAACGTACAGTTTGGCTGCCTTGTCACAGCAACTCTTAGCTGCCATGTGGCAAAAGCAAACGATTGTCCCCCAAGATTAAAGCTGTCGCCTTCTGGAACTAAATGGTAAGTTCATTTCTTTGAATAAAACATCTATTAGTATGTCCATAGCAAAATTTATTTTGGGATATCTGCTTCATTTGTAATAGCAGCTGCGGCAGCTGGGTTGTGCTGCTGATGCTGCATCACTGGTGGGTTGTGCTGCTGAAGTGGAGGCAGCAGCGGTAGATGTGGTAGATGGCCCAGGGGTGGGATTTAGAAACTTCAACAGTGCATCTGAAGAGAGGAGTATGTGACACCACTGAGTATTAAAGTCTAATAATAAAAACATATGATTCCAGGAATAAAATGAAATGATATAATATAAATGAAAAACCAAAGAGATATATGTATGATGTTAACTGATATGCAAATTAGATTAGATTCAATTTATTGTCATCATTACAGTGAAATGCTGAATAGCAGAATGCAAAGTAACAGTATAATATCATATGAGAATGTTATGTTATGATTATCTTTGACCGAATCACAGCAGTGCTCATATTAAAAAACAGCATTCCCTCTCATGTGATATTGCTTAATTAACATTAATGATGTGCACTTTAACAACTAGGCTTACAACTATAATATATACAGGGGTGGAAAAGTGGCCTGCAGGGTAAACGTTAGCTAACCAGAAGGCAATAACAATGTAAACAAAAAACACCTGCTTAAAAGATGAATACAAATGAGGAATGGTGGGAAAGGTGGGAGTACTGTAATTACCTAACGTTACATTATCATTTTCCATAACAATTTAGCCCCCTCCACAATATTAACTGACGTTAAAACAGTTAACTAGCTATTTATTGATTAGCAATTAGCGAATCATGTAACATTAGCTTAATGCTAAAAATTTAGGTTACTATCACATTCAGACAAATAATTTCATGTAGGCTAACGTTACCTACCTCTGTCTTTTTCTCGTTTCTCCTCCTCTTCTTTTCTCTTTTTTCTTCCCTGGCCACCTGACAGTTTTGGCCGTTTTGACATCTTGTGTTGACTTTTTGATGTGGTGACGTCCAAAAGGAACCATGATACGGGAAGGGAGGGGGCGTAATGTTGTAACAAATAATATTTCTATTAAATAAGCTTTACTTTGCATTTTAATTAACGTGGGATTATTTTTTGTATTTAGAAATAATAGTACCAACTTTTCTTTTTTTTTCAACATTTGTGGCACTGGCGTGGCGCCCCCTGATGGACGCCCTTAGCATTTGCCTATACGGCCTATGCCACGGACCGGCCCTGCAGCTGCCAAACCTGCAAGACAAAAGTAATTTTGAGTGACGGCAAAGTGCGTTTTATTTTGAAAGGCTTTGGGAAAAGTGGCATTTTCAATCCGACTGACTTGACGGCGTTGAAGGAGCCAAATGCGCGTGAAAGTTGCCCGCTCCTCCCACCTCCATGAGGCTGATTTGGCTCCAGATATAAACACAGAGTTTCTATCTACGAGCTACGCTTCTCCCCGCTCTCACCTTCCTCACAACCCAGCAGTTCGCTCCAAGAGGCCGAAAAGGAGAGAATTACGCAGGAGGGGACGGTCTTTTCCACATTCAACAGGATGGAGGTAGAAACTATATATATGACTCCGAGCGCAGTCGTTATGCAGCCCGTGCTCTGAAGCCAGATGTTTTTAACATTTAATCTGGTTGTGTGTAGAGACTGTGTGGTTGAAATTAAGGCATTGCATCATAGGAGAGTTTATTTGTGCTCAGTATTATTACTGGGATATTTGTGGGGGAACTGGGACTTGTTTGCACAATGTTTTAACAAATGTTTGACCAATGGTTCATTATGAGCGTGTCCTATGTCTTTACTAAGATGATCATATAGTGTGGTTTGTGATAGCAATCAGCACGTGATAGCAGCGTGATGTGCTTTTAAACTCAGACTCACTTTTTGGATTTTTCTTTGTGTGTGTGTGTGTGTGTGTGTGTGTGTGTGTGTGTGTTTTTGAAGCATAGAGACTAAAGACACACCAATTTTAACCTATTTGGCTCTGTGTGTTTGAGCCTCCGGCTGATATGCTTCAATAACAGGTTTGTGGTCACAATTTAACAACACAACAGCAGTGTAGAGGAAGGAAACGGAACTCTTAGAACATCTTTCACCAGATGCTGTTTTGCCGCGATGGCAAATTTACAGTTCAAACTGCTATTTTATTAATTTTAAGTCTTCTGTAAGGACTTTTGGGGGTTCCTGCCACTTCTCAGAACCCAAACTTTCCTTTACTCACTTGTGCTGAAGCTAAAAGAAAGAACACGAGCTCTTCTTTATGGTATAGGAAGTCTGTTCAGTCTTCCCCTGCACTGTGTGCTCACAGGTTCCCGGCCTCCTCCCTGCAAAACAAGCTGTTCCCTCAGACATCATTATTAAGTTTTTTTAATCTCATGTGGAAAATAGCAGAAATACCCCTTTTCTCCAACCACAGAAGAAGACGGAGAACAAAACCGATCTCACATTCTTTAGAATTGCTTTCGAGTTGTTCACCTTGCGAGTTTATTCGACTTTTTGTGTAGCAAATAGGGACCACCTTCAAATCTTGAAAGATAAGAGCGTTTAACAAACAAGTATTTATGATTTGAAATACTTCCAGTGAAATGAAACTGTTAAAATAAAAAATAATCCAAAACTGAACTTTCATCCTGAAGCAAAGCTTTGATGTGCATTTGATGCATTTTCTGTACCCTCTAAAAAAACCCAGTGTGACTTGATTTGGGAGCCTGTGAACAGCATATAGACCCGGATATTCTGCTATTACCTGTCAGCAGTTTCATGGATCTATTGATGACTGAGCTCATTTGGTCTTTCTGCAATTACCACAATTAGTGAAGTGAAATTTGTCATCCAAGTGTCTTTAGCTTAGTTTTGGATGTCACATGCTAATGGTGGCCAATGTGTGGTTCTAGCATAGTCAAAGAATGGGTCACGGTCACAAATGTTGATTTACGTCACCGCCTTCAAGCCAGCCTAAGGAGAAGATTAACACATGGAAGTTCTTAACCTTCTAGGAACTCTAACTGTGTGTTTGTGTGTATGTGCACAAACACCTGAAAATTAGTACTGTATATGCATGTGTGGTGGTTTTCCTCTCATGGAAAAACATCCCCACAGCTGGAGGACTGAGTATTTGAGATCGCATTGCCAACCATATGGCATGCACATTTATTATGTAATCCTAAGTAAAGAGACCAATAACACAGAAACTCAGTCTGTACCAGCCAGACATTTGCTAATGAGTTAGTTTTTCCACTTTTGCATTACAACAACATGTCTTTTTAAATGGTGCTCGCAGCGCTGCAGTCACTGGTACATGTAGTCCATTGTCAAAGGTTGTATACTACAACTACAGACGAAAAGAGTAAAAAAAGAAAGAAAATAAACATGTATATTCCCGATCACCATTAAACTTGGTGACTTTTTTACTTTCACATGCACCTGTGGCTTTATTTAAATTCAGTTTTATTTAACTCGAAATCACAACAACAGTCGCCTCAAGGTGGTTAATGCTGCAAGGTAAAAATGGTACAACGATGCAGAACAAACCCCAACAATTAGACGACTGCCTAAGAGCAAGCACTTGGTGACTGGGAGAAGGAAAAACTCCTTTTTAACAGGAAGAAACTTCTGGCATTATTTATCTAAGCTCATGCTAATTTGCAAACAAAGGTAACAAAGGTTGTTACTCCAAGAATGTGTTGGAAAAATACTTCAGTGGATAGGTAGGAATAAAACTGGGACATGTACTGCTGACATTTCAGCTCAAAAATGGTTGGCAAAAAATAAATGTACTCATGCCTGTGGTAATATACCCTCGGTTTTTATCTGAAAACGGTTTATCTCAAAGATATCACCGTGAAACTTTCCGAGTTAATTACTTTCTCATTTAAAAATGCAAATGAGGTACTATCTCACTAAACATACGCTACACTCATTTGCATAAATGTTAGACAATGTGTGGTAAAATAAACCCATATATGTGTGATTTTTATTTTTTAATTCCTGTTGATGGGCCTTGCCTTGTTTTCCTAACCAGTGCTAATGTGCCATGTTTCAGTACACCGAATGAATGGTCCACTCTGTAGCAAACATAAAACAGACACCTAACTGACCGTGAAACTCAGTGGAATGCAAAACACTAAGATCAAGGAAAGTGGAAGACACTGTGGCCTATCCTCTGAGTCACGGAGTCGTTATGGCTATATCTCCGTTTAAAGCACACACAGTGGGGTGTCTGTTCAATGTTTTGTGACTTTTACAGTTAATAAAATTCACTTATGTTTCCAAAACAGTTTTGAGCATTGTTGGGATGAGTTGGGTGACATTTGGACAAACAGCCAGCATCTTGTAGTTAACTTATGCTTTCTATAGGCTAATTACTTATTACTTATTTTAACTTTATTTTTGTTATACAAAAGCTTTGACTTCCAAAAGGATGTAATCGCAAAATAATTTCATGCAGAATCTTATTGCTCTTTGCAGTTTTTCTTGATTATTTCACAATGCATGCAGTTTCCCTGGGGATAACAGTAACAGGGTGAAAATAAACACTTTTTTGGGGGGCCTAACTTAACTGTTGTTGACATGAGAGTTGGACTATGCTCATTACAAAAAAGTAACTTGCACTCCTTAAAAATGCTTAGATTCTCTGATAATGTTTGCAGTGCATGTTCCCAGATGAAGATGCAGATGCACTGTATGAATGAGTGCAATGATTATTGTCTGGAGAGGGAGACGAAGATTATTGTCTGCAGACAATAATCATCCTCCTTAGTATGACAATAATCATACTAGGAGTCGGTGGCGGTTCATTCAGCAAGAAGTGAGCTGCAACAATAAAAGATGAGATGATCTAAAAAATGGAGTTGGAGGGGAAAAAATCAGAACTGGGTAAATTTATAATATTTTTCACGCCTGAGGGATGCACACAATGTGTTTGGTTGACAAATGGGCTTGATTCTGCAGCTGGCTGAAGCAGTTTAATTGTTCCCATCAGATGTGAAATTGCCCAAGTTTAATTCAAAGTAAGGCATTTTATGTCTCCTTGTGTTGCATATGTCTACTCTCTGCTTTGCTGCTTGAAGTTACTTCTCCACGTCGACCCTCATTATAGCACCTCGAGTCATAGGAGGCTATTTGCACCTTTACGACCGATCAAATGATTCATTAAGCCCCATAATCCTCTAAATGCTTTTGCTGCGTTTTACTGCAACACTTTTGTTCTTTTCCTAAACAATGTTGTTATTTGCAGCCCACACAGACCAAAAGGTTCTGCTATCAGGACGAGACTTCGTCAGAGCTAACAGTTCAAAGCAATGCGTGAAGCAGAGAGATACTGTGTGTGGGGTGGGAACTACAGAAGAGATAACGCAGAGGACACTGATATGTAGAAGCAAAACACGCATGTTGTTTGCCCTTAAAAATTACACCATGAACGCATGCATGTACACCATGAAGAAATCATTGTAATTTGAATGCTGGCAACACAACTTCTGGCCCAGCTTTGTTATTGCAGGCAAGTTCTTGAGATCTTCATCTTGACAGAGCTGACAGGGTACAAGTTATTGCAGTCAAAGCCATTTAAGTTTGTAAAGGCCGGGGGGGCTGTTTGTGCTGTCTTAGACATCTGCAGCTTCTCAAACATGCTGACTTTTCAGCGCAAAGTCTAAAAAATGTGAGGTACGTGCAGAAGGATTTTGAGAACAGTGAGCCAAACAGAGGAAGTGGAAACTACAAAAACACTATCATCATGAGTTTATACATTTCTTACAAATCTCCCTGCAGAACAGTTAACCCCTGCTACCTGCACCTCTTCAACCACCCTCTTCTAAATGTGGCATTTAGCCATGCTCTTGATTTCCTTTTTTGGCAGAAAGTAGTGCAAATGCAATAAATGCTGCAAGATGCACATAGTTTGCAATTGCCCTTTTTCCCACATCAACTTTTGCATTTTTCTTAAAAAGGAAAATCTTGCAACCTCTTTAAGATGTTGAATATTTATGATTTCATCATTGTTGCTTTATTATTGAATGTACTGTGTGAAAGGTATTGAGATTTTTAGGTTGTTGTAGCTTGGAAGACACGTGCATCCTGTGGGTTTGGGCATGTACAGTCATGTGAAAAAGAGTTTTCATAGCACTTCATGCAGTCTTGTAAAAATCTATGTAGGCCCAACAATTCAATATCTTTTTTCTGCTGTGGCAAAAATTCAAAGAAATTGTTTTCTGTATAACTTTATCAGTCTCTCGCATCGCTGTGGAGGAATTTCGGCCCACTTTTCTTTACAATGTTCTTTGAGTTTTGTGGGCATTCGTTTATGCACAGCTCTTAACATCACACCAGCGTGTTTCTGTCAGGCTGATGTTTGGCCATTTCATTACAGATTTTCTGGGAAGTTTGAAATGATCGTCCTGTTGAATGACCCAGATTCGGTCAACCTTTAGCTGTGTGACATATAGCCTCACATGTGACTCAAGAATACTGCGGTGTACATAGGAGCTGCTGTACGAGTCAATGACAGCAAGATGTTATCTGGCTGCAAAACAAGACCAAATCATCAAAAGTCTT